TGTCCTTCTCGCGTCGCCCGCTGGCCCCCCGCGCCGCCCGCCCGCGTCGTCGGCGAGGTGGGGCCCCGGCCACGTGGACAAGACCCCCCGCGACGCTCAGTCTGGCCCTCCATCTTCCCCGGCTCGAACCTTTCATCGCCTGGCGTTTGATGGTTGGCCGCGCCTGGTTACCGGCGGCGCGCGCTTCCGGACGCCGCGCCCACGAGTCGAACCTTGCTCGAAATTATGTTGCGGCGCTCTGAGCGCGGGATCTCGCCCTTCCTCTGCGAGTAGTGCGCTTGGGCGCCTTCCCGCGGATGGACTTCCCAGCGCCTGCCCGCGCTGCGCGCCGATTGTTTCCAGCCCCGAGGGCGAGCTCCCGAATTCGCGGCTGCCGTAAAACAAGACGCCATAGCTCCCTGCTCCAATGCCAATGATAATGGCTTGGGACCCAACTTTCTCTTCTTCTACCCGACGAGATGGAAACGCCGCTCGGCGTTCCTCGCTCTCGTCTTGCGCGGCCTAGCCATCGTCATCTTCGCCGCTCGGCTAAGACCGATATCGCATCTTTCGCGCGCCGCCCTCGCCTTGATGTCGCGCCTGGCAGGCCTCTTTACCACGTCGTTGGCGCCTTGGGTCGCGGGGCCGAATGCCGCCGACTTGTCCGCCATCATAAAGTTGCCGTCGTGGAGTTGGTCGGGTGGTGAGCCGACGCGGATCGCGACGTCGTCCTCCGCCGACTCCGCGCCCCCCGCTGCTCGCAGACTGACGCCGTCGAACCAGGTCCTGGGATTGGTGGCATGCGCCTTGTCGACGCGCTCGGTGAAAAGGCGACGTAGACCAAGGTTTTTCGCCGCCCCGTTGCTGTCTTGATCCGGCCGACAGCGATTTACCTGCGATGGGCCCCCATCGCTGTTGCAGGCCTTCCGCGTTCGCGGGCGCGCGGCCATGTGCTGCGACGTCGACGCGTCCGAGATCCCGGGTTGGAAACCGGCGGCGCTACGCCGCTGTAGCTGCGCGCTCGAACTCCTGGCTGTCGCGGAACCTCTCGACATCGCAATTTGGCTCTCCTGCAGCAGCTTTCCCCTGGCACAGCGGCGCCCCGTAGCATCTCGACCTGCTTCGCCCAGTCTCGCGCGCGCCGCTCGCGGTTGAATAGTTGCCGCCGCCGACCAAACCTGCTCAGTCAAGACAGTGTTATATCTCCTCTTGCGCTCGTCGAGTGCGTCCCTGGTTGGCGACCCCCCTTTGGCTCGAGCATCGCGATGGCCTCCAGTTGTTGCCATGGCCGGGCGAGCGCCTTCTCGCGCGCGTTGTACGCGCTGATGAATTCGACTCTTCCCTCGGGAGTCTCCTGCGGTCGGCCGCGCACATCTGGTCGACGCCTTCCCCCTTGTCTGGGGCCCCGTGGATGGCCTGGTTCATATCCTCCGAGGTCCGCACTGGCGCGCACTCGGCGGCTCGCCGAAGTCGCCGAAGTCGCTCGACGTCCTGCTCGTCGCGGCCGCATTCGCAGATGCTCTCGAAGATCTTCTGCCTGGCGATGATATTGCGCGCCGGCGAAAGTCCCATCTTCAGGTCGCGCGTGACCTCCTGCTCGCATCGCTTGGCGCCAGGTGCGATTATGCGCTGGACTCTCAGAGGCTTTCCTCCGCCGCGTCGGCCGCGCGCCCGGCGCGCGCCCTGCGCCATTTGGCCAGGTCCGTCTCCGGCGACTGCTGCGCCCGCTGCTGCGGTTGACCCTTTGCCCGCCCTGCCGGCTGATGTCGATCGCGCTGCGTTTCCAAATCTCGCGGCGCAGTCTCGCTGTCGGCGGCGCCGCATTTCTCAGCAACGGTGGCCTCTCGAGCGCGAGCATTCGGCATGTGATCTCCGCGTGACTCTGCATCTCGATGCCTTTGCGTCGTCTTCTGCGCCGATCCGAAATGCCCAGGGCATTCGCCGCGCGGCGCCACCGACCAGCCCGGAGTCCGCGGCGCGCGCGAAACGTGGGCCGCGCCCCTTCGTCTCCGTCGTCTTTAGCTCCATTGGTTTTCCCCTGCCGCAAAATTGCTTCCGCTCTCGCAGTGGCATCTGGTGGGCCGCGCGGCAGAAGCTCTCCGCGCTCTCAATCGACTCGGCGCACAGTCGCCCTGGATCCACGGGCCCCTCCGCCGCGGCCTCGAACTCCCCGCCCATCGCGATGTCCTCGGGCGGGGCGCGTCTGAGCGGGGCGCGTCTGAGCGCCGATGCGCCTGCTGGCTGCAACGCAACCCTCTTCCCATGCGTCATCTGATCGTTGGTCCCGCCCCAGTTGCTGTCCGTAGCTTGCGCTTGTCTGTCTGGCCTGATTGATCCAGCGGAGCTTCCTGCGACGATCGCCCCTGGGTTATCCCCGCCAATCTCGCCTCTAAAATCTTCCAACATTCTCTCTGCTGTGCCGGGCCCTTAGCGTTCCTGCCGTTCTTCATCTGCTGGCCCCGCGCAAGTGCCAGGCGCGACGTCGCCGACGCCCTCGACGAGGTCGATCTCCTCGCTCGCGCGACGCTTCAGCAGAGCCTGTCCTGGAACATGATGTTCGCGCCCTCGTTCGGATGCCTCCCACCGCGCGCCCTTCTCCCCGCCCCCCCCCGCCCGCCGGGTTCTCGTTCGTTGTCGGGGTGGCCCTTCCAGCCCTGCGGCACAATGGCGCAAGTGCTTCCCGCCGCGCGTCTTCAAATCATTTTCTGAATTATAGCTCTCGTAGCTGCGCGCGCCATTGGCCGCCGGCGCCCCCGCCCTTGGCTGTCTGGCTGGCGGCGTCGCGCCTGGCCCCCTGACTGCGCGATCCGAAATTGCCTCTTGATGCCTGGGTTTGCCTTTTGCCTCTTCAGCCCCGGGCGCGCGAGCAGTCTTGCCACGGTTAATGCCGTCGCGATGCCGCGCCTGGTCTCCCAGTCGATGATCGCGCGTTGTCCTATGTGTGATCGCCGCGGTACATTCGCGGTCGCTTCCACGCCGCGCGCGTGCCCCTCCGCCTAGTAGTTGACTATCGCGCAGTCGATCAACGACGGCTTCCTGCTCTTCTCACAACATGCGCGAGCGCCCTCCGGTAAAGTCACGACTTTACTGCCTAGCCTCTTGAACCACGCGGTGTCCCAGAGCTGTTTCGGCGAGTGGTTCCAGTCCCCCACTACGACCCACGGGTGGTTAAAGCTGCGCAGGAAGCTGGACAGCGTCACAAGCCTCTTGCCGTTGATGCCACTCGCGGGCGCGCAGCCGCTGTCGAAGTAATGCTGGCGATGACATATGCGAAACCTTTCAAGTGCCAGGCCTTCTGAGACCAGTCCAAGAACTGCGTGCCCCTCGCAGAAGCCTAGGGTGCCAGCTGTGGCACCGCTGAGAGAATCCTAAGAAACGAGCTCTCTGAAGGCCGTCGATCTCATATGCGAGCGCATTGACATGCAAGTACTCTCTCCCGCACGCGCCTGCAGCCGAAGTCGTGGATGGACGTGCTGCGCACTGCATTCAGCCCCATGCTGCGTAGAGTCTACTCGTGCAGCTCAATTTCTCGAGAGCGCACCAAAGCAGCCCGAATCCCTGGACTTCTTTGTTGCCGCCGCCCATAACCACTTTTCCGCCGTGGGGCCCCACTGCGTGTAGCTGCCGAAGAGTAGGCGTCTCTGGGGCACGCCGTCGGCGTTCTCGCCATGCCCCGACTTCCTGCCCTGTTTCTTTCGGATACTTTTGCCTGCCGCCGTGGCTGCGGCCACCGCTCTTCTCTTCCCCTGGATGACCATATTGCCGCTTTCTTCACCTTCCGCCTGTTCAATTCTAGCTTCGGCAGGTGCTTAGCTTTAGCTCCTGGGGTTGGTTTCGCCTCTGTGCCATTACCGCCTTCCGCTTCTTTGCCATATGTTTCCTTTCCTGTGTTTGCTCCTTCGCTGTTACCCTGTGTCATTTACGAACTCGTCTAGGTGGCCCTTGAACGTGTTCACCTCTGTCTTCATGTGCAAAAACCATGCCGGCCTTAACTCCCGCGATATCCGCCATGGCCTCCTCGTCTAAGTCCTTGTATTCGACCATTTCATATTTTAGCCCGCCCATTTCGTGATGCCTCCATCCACCTCAGCTCCTCCAGTAGGCCTCGAGGCTGTCGCTGGTCTTCGGCACGTATGAATTAAATTGCCGTCTCCGCCTCCGACACCTTGTCAACCGCCTCGTCTGTTTCCTCTTGCTGCCTTTCGCTAGGTGCTGCTTGTAGATCAGGTTCTTGAATTTGCTGGCACTTTCGAGTTCCCTTGCCGCGTCCACGAGCCTCATCGCTGTGGATGTAGCTGGGGGTCGAACTTGCTGCTCGCTCTATTTTTCCAACTGCGCCGCAAAGTCTTTCAGGTGGGTTTCGATCGAGATAGGTGTCTGTCCGACGCTGATCTAGAGCCTCGGTGCGGGCGTTAACGTTCGTGTCTACTGCATGTCCACGCTCCTCCCATGAGCTTCCACACTGGCTGCTCTGGCTTCTGTGCAGAGTTTCCCCTGTTTTCTCGCTCGCCGCGGCCGTCTCGAGCTGCCGGTGGAAAGCGAGGGTGTCGCTGTCGTTGCTGTCTTTGGTCTCGTTGCCTTCCAGCACGTCGTACACCACCACTTCACTCCGCAACATTCACGCACCGTCCTGCTACCTCCTGGCGGCATGCTTCCGTGGTGCGCGTCCAGCATCGCGGCGGCGCACTCCAGCTTCAGAAAGCCTGCTTGCCTGGGCGCGGGCGCGGCGCTCGCGCTTGTGCCAGGAGGGCGAGGCCTCCCTATGGCAGGCCGTGGGCGCGCGGGACCGGGGCTCACGGTCGGCCGCGCTGGGGTCACCGCTCGGCGGGCGGGGGGGGACCGTTGCCCGTTCCACCTAGGAGGAGGAGGGGGAGAAACAGGAGGAGAACGAGGAGCGATGAGGAGCAGCGGATGTTCCATGGCGAGAGGGTGGGTGGGGGGTGGGGTGGGGGGTGGGGGGGGGGAGGGGGGGAAGCCCGCCGAGGTGGAGTGGCGCATGGCGCCCACGCCAGGCGCCGCGCCTGCATCTCCAGCAGCTTGGATCGCAGCGCCGCGCCGGGCTCCCTGCGCGCCGGGCGGGCGGTCGTCTCCTCGTCTTGGCGTAGCCGCAGGGCGACGCCGATCGTAGCCCAGGCTAAGAGCAGAGGCACAACAGACCCTGACTTCTGATCCGCCGTGCTTTGGTTGATTCACCGACTTCGAAACTTTGTCGGGAGCGCACCCCAAAAGATACGAAACAAGTAGGGCGGAAATTTCCACCTCGGAAGAATAGGGCGGGCATTTCTTCCCAAAGATACGATCGGCCTGCAGAAATACTGAAACGAAATAAAATGCGAAACCCTTTTCGGCACCAAAAAAGCCTGGGTGCGCGAGGAGGGCTATAGGAACAACCACGGAATTACCTGAGGAACAGCGAGTCACTTCCGACCCCCAAGCGGCCCTCATTTCAGCGTCTTCGCTGTCTGGCAGAAGCAGAGACGGCAAAGTAGCAGGGATGTTGGCATCAAAGAAAAATCAAAGATAAAGTGAGAATTCCCGCCCTACTTCCAAAATCGAAAGTAAGGCAGATCCGAAGTCAGGGGAGGCCAGCGGGACAACAGAGCAGCGGCGCGCCTCCTCCTCCTCCTCCTCCTCCTCCTCCTCCTCCTCCTCCTCCTCCTCCTCGTCGGGTCCCCCACAGCCCCCACCTGGCCCCGTGGTCGCCCCCCCCCGCGCCCCAGTGGTGCTCGGAGGAAGGATCCAGAGGGCCCAAGCCGAAGGCCACCAGACGGTGGGCCTGCCGAGAGTAGTATTCTGTCGGAGGTGTGCCAGGTACGCCAGGGACCGATGGGCAGGTTTGTTTTCCAATTGCCCCGGGGGTAATCCAAGGGTCATAGCTGGGCGTTTAAACCGTTTGTGGCAAGGTACGCACCCCACCACGAATCAGATTCTCTGAGGCCCTTGATTGCCCAGGACACGCCTGGGATGACGGGCGCCTCGTAGGGTTTCGTCGCCGCGCCCTCGGCCGCCTCGACAAACCGACCGCGAGCGAATCCTCAGCGAATCCTCGTCCTCCTCGTCCTCCTCGTCATTACAAGCATCATCATCATCATCATCATCATCATCATCATCATCATCATCATCATCATCATCATCATCATCATGATCATCAGCAGCAGCATCATCATCAGCATCATCATCATCATCATCATCATCGTCGTCGTCGCCATCATCATCATCATCATCATCATCATCATCATCATCATCATCGTCATCATTATCATCATCATCATCAGCATCATCATCAGCATCATCATCATCAGCAGCAGCATCATCATCATCATCATCATAATCAGCATCATCATCATCATCATCATCATCATCATCATCATCGTCATCGTCAGCATCATCACCATCACCATCACCATCACCATCACCATCACCATCACCATCACCATCATCATCATCATCATCATCATCACATCATCATCATCATCTGAATCATCTGAAACATCATCATCGTCATCATTGTCATCACCATCGTAATATGCATGGTCATCGGCATCGGCATCGGCATCGGCATCAGCATCAGCGGCAGCATCATCATAATCAACACCACCATCACCACCACCATCATCATCATCGTCATCATCGTCATCATCGTTATCATCGTCATCATCAGCAACATCAACGTCGTCGTCATCGTCGTCATCACCATCGCCATAGGCATCTGCATCGGAATCGGCATCGGCATCAGCATCAACATCAGCAGCATCATCATCATAATCACCACCACCACCATCGTCATCACCGTCATCGTCATCATTATTATCAGCAGCGTCGTCATCGTCATCGCCACCGTCATCGGCATCATCATCATCATCAGCATCATCATCATCATCATCATCATCATCATCAGCATCATCAACGTCATCGTCATCATCATCATCATCATCATCATAATCGCCATCACCAGTACCTTCAATAACGTCGTCGTTCTCTCAATCGCTCCTCTGCTGCAGTCTCCGTTTTCTCTTCCTCATCCTTCTGCATATTACCCTCCTTATGATCCTCCTCATCCTCCTCTTTCCTCCTCCTCCTCGTCCACATCCTCCCCCTCCTCCTCTTATTCGTCCTCTTCCTCGTATTTCTCCTCGTCCCTTCTCTTCCTTCAACCTCTTCCCATCCTCCTCTCTCATCCCTCATCCTGCTCCTCCTGCTCCGCTGCTCCTTGTCATCCTCCTCTTCTCCATCCTCCCCCGCCTCCCCTTCATCATCACTGATCTTTGCCATCAAACCTCCGTCGTCATGAATAGCCTCACCCTCTGGCATCACCAAAAGTGTCCCTCGGCGGGGCCATGCGTTAAGCTTGAACTTTGCTTTTTACGTACTACCCCGACGCTTGAAATATCCGATTGCTAAATACACGGATGGAGGCTGGCTCGTGTTCGAAATGCGGCTTTCGCCTTAGTGCCCAGGGGGCGTTCGTCTGAAGAGTTGTTCAGGCCAGGCGGACGTGAACACATAGCAAATTTGGCCACCCCGAATCTGCTCCGCCCACCCAGTTCTGGGCCTCCCTCAGGCGCACATCGGCGCTGAGCTGGAGGGAAGTTTCTGCAAATGTCCCTCCTCCTCCTCCACCACCAGTTCACCCTCCACCACCATCAATTATCCCTTTCATCGTCAGGATCCGGATCACCATCACCCTCCTCAGCATCACCATCATTAAATACCACCCTCCTCATCACCAACATAATCATCACACTCATCGTCACCAACACCATCATCATCATCATCATCATCATCATCATCATCATCATCATCATCAGCATCAGCATCGTCATCATCATCATTTTCTCAGCAGCAGTACCAACATGAGCGTCATCTTCAGCATCAGCACCATCATCGCCATCAGATTCGGCATCGGCATCGCCATCATCGCCATCAGCATCATCAGCAGCATCACCATCCTCATCCTCATCCGCATCCTCGTCCGAATCCGAATCATCATCTTCACCCCACAATCATCCGAGAATGGGAATGGAGCTCCGGGGAGCGCCAACCGAACAACAGGAAAACAGAGCAACAACTGGGCCTGTACCCACTAATGTTTCGAGCTGGGCGCCACTTTGCCCCGAGGGCTTGCAGAAGGAACAATTGGCCCCGAACGCTGGGGATGGAGGCCCACAGGCGATTCGTGGCGCCTCCGTTGATGGGGGCCCGAGGGCCACGACGCATCCTCGATCTAAGAGGGCATTAATTCGACTGATCAGCATTCGAATGCGGAGAGAGAGAGAGAGAGAGAGAGAGAGACAAAAAGAGAGAGAGAGAGAGAGAGAGAGAGAGAGACGGAGGGAACAGGCGCGGGGGGAGGCAAACGAAAGGGGAAAGGTCTCTACAGTTCCTGGCAGGCCTCGAACTACGAATCCCGAGTTACGACGAGGATGTGTTCTCAATCTCTGTCCACGTCGTTCCCGCCTGGCTGCACAGGCCGCCACGATGCGCGAACGGGCCCCCCCTTGACGTTCCAGACGTCGCACGACGCAAGAATAAGCTACCCACTAGAACGTGCAAGGAAGAAGTCGGCGGTGCTGCGACTCGTGGGGACGATCAAACTCCTCCACCTCTTCAGTACTCACCACCATAGACAGTCGCCCACTCAACTCGCCAACGCAAGGCGCTCGCAAGGCGCCATGTCGCAAACAAATCACGTTCGCCCTTTGCGACGCACGGGCACACGAACTTCTGACTGCGCCACCGTCCTCGATGCCGCCTCCAGCGATACTGCGCCCAGTTCCACCAAAATTCAGGGCCGTTCGTTACGCGCGCCAATCATCAAGCGCTGATGCGCGCTAAATCGCACCACTTGTTGGTCTTCCCGCATTCGTCGAGGAGCTTCTGAGCCGCTCGCCCCAATGAGTCCCGAGGAGCGGGGCCCATCTTCACCACTCCGTTGACCTGCTTGAGCACTCCAATGGCATCCTTCTCCGTGGACTCGCGTTCGCGGCCGAAGGCGAAAGCGAACTTGGCGACCTCGGCGCGGTACTCCTTCTTCGCGGGCTTCGAGCAGCAGCGAATGGCCGGCTCTTGAAGCTGCCGCGCCGTCTTGCCCTCCACGTGCTCATCCCAGCACTCATGCAGTCGTTGCTGCGCCTGCTGGCTTAGTTCTAGCCTCGCGATTGCCTGCGACATCGCCGAGAACACGTGGGCGCAGGGCGCTCCAAGCACGTCTAACTCCGTCTGTTTGCCCTGCAGCCGCTGCACATCCTTGTGGCGAGCCACTCTTGCCGCCTTCATTGCTCAGCAGATGGGGCGCGCCGAGACGAGCAGGGCGGCGCGCCGCGGGGCCCCCGTCGCCTCCCTGAGCACCGAGGCGCCGGACAGCGCGAGTCGAGCGAGAATGAGGACCAGCTTTGCCGCCGTCTATTCTCATGATGGCTCCGCGATGTCTAGCGCGGCGCGCTGGCGCCTTTGCGCCGGTGGCTCGCCCGCTCCTTGGCGGAATCCCCGAGCCAGCGGCGCTCGCTCCAGGGGCGCGACCGCGCGGGGAATCGGATGGCGGCGCGCGCGTCTGCAGGCATCGGCCTCGAACCAGCGCGAATGGCATCTGCGCGATTCTGGGCGCATGGTCCCTCGAAGATACCGGGGTCGATTTACACGCGCACTTCCCCTCGTAGTGCGCATCTGACGCCATGCTGCTGCCGAGCTACAGTAGACCCATAGACCCCCGCGCACGCTCTTTGCGTTGGCGGCTGGGCAGAGGCAGGGGTGACTGCTCTGGCGATAGGGCGTCAGTGGGGCGCGCTAGATGCAAATCACAAGCGCGCACACGCGCGCGCACTCGCGCGCGCAGCATGGGCGCGCGTTGTTCACCACCGAAGACGCTCACGGGCCGCGGAGGCCACGGCAGGCAAGCCGATGACGCGCGACAGCTTTGAAGGAGGAAGCCTTCTTCGAGCAACCGGCCCCCTCCCACAGCTCAAACTGGCTCCTGCCGCCGACCGGGCGAGCATGGCGGGGTGGAACAGGGCGCTTGATTCTAAGGCCCACCCTGGAGGGGGGATCGCCGACGCGCGGGCCACTCG